TGGTAATTGCAAAAAAAAAAAAAAAAAAAAAAAAAAAACTTCAATTAGAACAGCAAAATTCAAGGAGAAAGCAAAATATGTTACCTGTTTATCATTGAAGGAGATGATGCTGAAATGGATAATTAATTGAATTGTGCAGGCAATGGCAACATCACTCATCACTCATGATTGATTGATTACCAAAGTCCAATAACCCGTACTGTGCTGTTTTAGAATCTTGTTTAAACTGCACCAAGTAATGAATTCTCCTCCCCCAACCAAAATTTATGCATACATACAGCCTAAGTTTCAAAGCAGAAGAATGGTCTAATAATAGATCTATCAGATGCAAGAAAATATAATGAAAAAGGCCAAGCAAATAAAGAGCTGTTTAAACCATCAGCAGGTCTCGAGGGTCAGAATCAAAATGTGGGAAAATGAAACTCATAATTGAACAACTATATTCAGACTGAGATGATTTCTAGATCATAAAGAAATTATTTTAGAAAATACTCGAGGATGTGAGGTGAGAAAAGGGTTATATGATATCATGTACAATATGTAAAGAAAGTATTGTGTTACATAGGATCTGAAAATTCTTTTTTGAGTATCTGGGGACTACCTTTACATCCGGAGTCTGCATAACAAGGAAGGATCAGCCACGGTCTTGGCACAAAAATCCATGTTAAATTATAGTCTATCTCAACTATGCAGCTGCGAGCAACCTCCTCCTTGGATATAATAATCCGACTCGATCTTTTCTTTACTCGGCTAAGTAAACAAAGAATCCCAAAAGTTGCTCGTCTCTCTCTCTCTCTCTATCATAAAAATCTATCAAAACCTGTCATATTATACGGCCAGGATATGATATCATTAGCGAATATATAATATCATCTAAAGCATGCCAAACCATCATATGCATAGAAGCAATTTTATTTCTTGGCAGGTCTTGGGTAGCATGCCATCCAAATGACTAATTGTACATAAAAATTCCATATGAACATAAGCGAACATGCTCTTATTCATAGCCTAAAACTTATTTAATAGGAGAAACACAACGATCTCTGATAAGATTGAAGCAAGAGAGACAAAATAGTAATGGTTTTAGAAATTGTCAACACATGAGTACTAGAGGCGGAGAGAGAATTAGGTCAGAGAGGAAGATGGTTACTACGGTTTGGTCATTTGTTTGAACATTTCTACCATGTAGCACTGAATATAGCCTTTGGCAAAAAGCATTCATGTAAGAGTAAAAAAGCAGAGGAATAAAAGGGCCCCAAGCCTTAATCCTTTATATCTCAACGATCCAGTACTTCATTGAGTGTTTCCAGCACACAGATGAAACGGGACCAACTTCCAGTGATATTTATTAACATCTAACGAATTTCCGCACAAGCACATCCTGTAAACAAATGATCTAGTCAACATCTCACTCTATTAGGAATCTAGGATTTTGGGAATCCATCCCAACTTAAAACCTCCAAAGCCACTAGTCAATGTTGACAACAAGGCTAGATTCTTTGGGCGCAAACATGAAAACCAACTTGTCCCATCTAAGAGGATTTTTCCCTTCAAAAATACTAATTGCAGGAAACAAAAGGATGATCTCTCAAGTACTTGCAGGTTATAATAAAATCTTTCCCCAACTTAGCTTCCACAGCTCTAGTCAAGATGAAGCTGCTACCTTTTGGCTTATTCAAGCAATTTCATGTGTGCCGATCTATCTGTAAGCTTACCAAGAAAGCTGTCAGCATATTGTAGAAATCCTTCAAGTTGGATAAAAATCTCCAAGGCAGAAGATTGTGGAGGTTTTTATTTGCTAATTGGCTTTAGAGATTCCCTCTTCTAAGAGGTAACAAGGAACATAGATATATTGCAAGACGTGTTATTGTGGAGTCTCTCAAAAGTGGTTTTTTCGTGATAAAGCTAACTGGTACAGCCCCAGAAGCAATTATTTCAGAACTTTAAAAATCTGAACTCTCAATGAACATTAATGTACAACCAACTTAGTTTAGGACTTCGTTTATAAAACAATTAGAAGTGAGTTTATTAACATTTATTTCAAAATTTTAAGCCAAATATTGAAGGCCCCATCACAAACAAATAAATTTTGGTGATGAATTAAGGGACACATACTAGTTACCCCCCGATCTTCCCTTGCCCTTACTTTCCCTTCGATTAAAACTTTAACCACCCATAAAAGATTCAGGAGTTGAAGAGTACGTGAATTATTCATTCTGATCTAGCTACATGAAATGCTATGAGAAGCTTCTTAATCATAGAATAAAAATGTAATTTCAAACTAGTTAAGCAAAATTAATAACAAGAATAAGGACTAGATGTCACTAACCTGGTCAGAAACATGGGCCTACACTTGGGAGCAAATGTTCCTGGATCAAGTTTGTCAGGATAACTACTATGTACAGAGTTCAACCAAGAGCCTCCAAAAGTCTTGATAGCGCCTTGCAGTGGTACAAAATTTATGCACAAAGCTGATCTTTCTGTACAGTACAGTAACCAATTTGTATTCCAATCCCACATCAGCACTGGAAGAACATGATGGAAGTATCCAACAAATGAAGCAAGAAAGTTTTCAGCACGGATTCAGAGTGGCCATTACAATGATTCAAGAAAAAACTTACATCGGAAAGAAATAACAACTCTTATGCAGGCCGCCAACAATTAAGAGTTGAAAGGTCTTGTCTAGAAGGCAACATTTGAGGAACGCTATGACCTGGAAAAAATGTGATAGAAGAGTTCTCTCTATAAAAATTTGGAACAATTGCTCATAAATTTACAGAAATTCTTCATAAAACTAAATTACAACAAAAACATATAGAGCACAATTAAAAAATCACCAGAAATTGGAGCTCCAGATGGAAGACTATTGGAGGCAGGACGCTGAAAACCAATATTACTTGGTGGTCGTTCATAAGGTTGTTGAAAATAGCCTACAAAGATAAATTATTTAGGATCTGGATAGTGGACACTGATGGGTAAAGAAAAAGGAATATCAAAGATAATCCTCCACTTGGTCTATACTAAGATGCTCAAAATCAAAGAACGACTCCATTTCAGTAAGGGATAAATTAAAGCATACTTACGTTCTGAGACCAAAATAAGAAAGTGAATTAGCATGTCTTAAATCAAACAAACAAGCACTAGAAACCAAAGAAACCAATTGGAATTTGAGGGTCTCCACCTAACTCCCAGACAAAGCTTAAAAGAAAGACTGCAAGGTGAGATTAACAAAGAAGGTGACATTCCCAGAGCAAACGTAAAGAATAATCTACAAAGAGGAAAAGCAAAAAGTGAAGCCTCTCCCTTTTACAAGAAGGCCCTTAATACAAGTCTTATCCACACTGGTACAGATCAACCTACTCTGAACATCGACAAGAGAAAAGAAGAGAGAAGGTAACCCTGCCTAAGATCCTAGAAGCAAAAATCTTCCCTCCCAGCCAGTCATTTATTCAAAAAAGTTGACAATCCTCACTCATTCATAGTAAATTCCATTGGGTCATGATTCCAATGTGCTTACAGTAACTCTTTGGTCAATGAATAGTGGTTGGAGTTCTTGGGTATTTGTTTTCTTCTGCAGTACACATTAACTTTAGGTTGTGAAGTAGTAAAAAGAACAGTTGTCAATAGCCAGCCAAACATACTCTTTTTCCTAACCTTTCCCCATCATCAATGCATGTCCAAACAAGATATAAAGCCACAAGATCATGATACCAAAATATACAATGAAATATTTACATTTTAATACCTTCCTGGCTGAATGGTGGTCCTGGATGTGATGGATTTCTCCCCCCGTTCATCCATACACCTTGACGATTTTCAGTTTTGAATTCATTTGAAGGCCTTCTCCATTGTTCATCACCCAAGAAAGGCCTCCGGCTATCCATAACGGATGGCGAAGAATATGAATGATGGTATGGATGAGGAGGATGCTGCTGAACCGGAGGCTTAGCATAAGAGAAATGACTGGGTGGGTTTTGAGGTGGGCCAGAATGCATCTGCCTTTGAATAAAGTTGGGGTTCCCTTGCTGATATTGCTGGTTTGGTTGAGAAACTTGCGTATTCAGATATATATCGTTATGTCCATACTCTGATTGCCTCGAAGAATTAAATCCAGAAGGTGGCTGCTGGCCATACGTTTCACCTTTAGCAGAAGCATCCACGTGACTCCCATGAGAAGCATTTCCAGCCATTTGCACATGCTGATTTCCCTGTAGAAGGGGCACACAAACTAAGTACAACTATACCCATAAAATACCTTTTCAAACTAAATATTGCATCCTTACACTAGCTATGCTGCAGTATTCATGGGGAATAGGAGCTTGATACGGAAGCTGTGCTGAAGGCTGCTGGGAAGATTGAAGCGGTAATATCTGCTGGTTCAACAATGGAGGCTGACTGGGTACTGGTGGTTGGGAAATTAATGGTGGTGGTGGTGGCGGAGGGCATGCAGATGGTAGAGGAGGAGGTGGTGGTAATGACGGAAGTGGCGGTGGTGGTAGTGGTGGTG